CCACATCACCTGCGGCCGTTAGTCTGCGAAAGACCCGATAGGCGGCGGCCCGTCAGAAAAGGCGCGACGAACGAGTAAAACGGCAGATCGCAGTTTTACCTCGTTACAATAGTAAATGAATATGAAATTGATTTGCTTACCAACGTTATATATTCTTTTGATAACAACTAAGTTGAGAGAAAAGCTAGTTTTATACATATTTATTAAAAACCGAAAATTCATAGAGTATTTATTGTACAAGAGGTGTAATAATTATTATCATAATCAGACCTGCTTTAATATTACAAGATTGTTTTACCCCTTCTTAATTAATGTAAAGAAAAATAGGCTTTATTGATTTTAAGACAATCACTTAACAAAAATTATTCCTACTACGCACAAGGTTGTACAATTAATTTTTATGATCAAAGTAAAGAAAAAAAATTAAGAAATCGTGCAAAAAAGAAAAAAATTAATTCAAGATGGTCTCATAAAGAAACTAGGAATATAAGTCGATGCGCCAACTCGAGGTGCGGGTAATACTAATAACGGCAACATAGCTCGGAAATTTTTTAATAATGTCGATGCTGTATCTGAAGTAACAAGTTTAATGCTGTTTCTTTCCAATACTTTATTAAAAATGCATATTCCAAAGTAGTATAATATAGACAAATCAACTAAATTTAAGGGTATAACGTGGAACTTGTAAGATGCTTTAAGATTATTCTGGCCGTTGTATCATCTGGTGAACAAATCGACTTTAAGGAATTCAGAGTAAAATATTATTTTTTCAACCTTTATTATTTCAAAGAACAAACAATTTCTTAAACTCTAACAATGCTAAGCAGAATTTGTACTATCTTAAATGTGTTGTTACCCGAACTTGAAAATTTTTTTTAGAGTGGCAACTACAACAGATATTTTCCATAGATTGATGATTAACTCTGATTCATTTTTTTCGTTACGTCGTGAGACCCCTAAAAAATAGAGTACGTGTCTGACGGACGAAATGATATTTCTGCTCAAACGCAAAAATGAAAACTCGGTAGAGAAATGTGAAAATAACTTGTTGGTTAACTGTGCATCTATAGATACATCGATGGAAGATACAAGTGATGAATTATCTGATTACGAGAGTTATTAATCATACAATAACGGTTTTGTTAAGGAACAGATACTTCTTAATACGAAATTTGTTCCTCTTAAAAAATAATATGTATATCTTGAAATATTCATTTATGGTATTATTAGATTATTAACGGATTATGTTCTATTCATGTGTTATACTCAGTTGACCCTTCCCTTTAAACCCCATGTCTCATGCCTTGTAAGACAAAAGACAATCGGCCATTTTGTATTGGCCGCCATATTGTATCCTGAATATTATTTGTTAACCTTACATTTATTGTCTTTCAATACTAAACACTCACATAGAAGTTCAACTTACTGGGATATCTAAAACTAGTTTAAAATTTGATCTGAACGTCGGAATTTCACAAATTACCGAAATTTTACCTGTAAAAATGCATACATTTTTTAACATCACTTCTCCAAGGGGATAAGATTACTGTAGGTTTCGATGTAAGAAGTAACGTAAGCCAAAAAAATCTTAATCCAGTCAAAATTCAGTAGAGGCAGAGATTGTGATGCATTTTCTAGAAATTTTTCTAAAGTTTAGTCCACCATCTTGGATCCACCATCTTCGAATCAGGAAATGTAACCTCAGATTTATAATCAGAAAACCCCAAAACATTTACATCTTAAAGTTAGCAGAAGACGGACGATTTTCCAAAATTTTTCCACCATCTTGGATCCACCATCTCCGAATCAGGAAATGTAACCTCAGATTTCTAATCAGAAAACCCCAAAACATTTACATCTCAAAGTTATCAGGAAACGGTAATGTTCAAAAATTTGTCCACCATCTTGAATCCATCATCTGGAAATTTGAAATTCTGACCTTCGATTCGTAATCAGTGACCCCAAAAACCCCGTATACTAATTTTTGTACAAATCGGTTAACTTTAACAACGCATTATGTATTCATAGTATTTTGAATATGGAAACCCGCTGTATATATACCTGGAACACATATATATCAAAAAAAGTGAAACGTGCGAAGGGCTCAGATCCTTGTAGCTTAAGTTCTGAGGAACAAAATAAGCCTCAAAACGTTTAATTTAAGTAAAAATTCATTGGAAGCACAAATTTTGAGAATTTTTCGGGCTTTCTGGACCACTGTGCTCCGTCCCGTCTGGCATCACTGCTTGAGGCATAAAATTATGATGTCATGCGGGTAAGCTTTTATCTTACTGTATATGAACCCCGAATTTGCTATGTACATACATTGCCACTTAAATGCGTTATGGACGTGAAAGTATCTTTTTTTTTTTTTCATAAAAAAAGTTTTTTGTTTCTCTGTTTTTGAATTCTTGAGACAAAATTGATGATATCAGACATGATTTTTAATTTTTCATTATAATAAAACCAAATTATACTTAAATTATTTATAGACTCATTCATCATAAAGCAATTGACGTGCATACTATGAAAAAACAATAAAACATAACCTGTATTTGTAGGCTGAGTAACAAAATGTATTATGTTCCCCAAAGTTAAAAAAAAAAAATAATATCAACATGTATACAAATATGCTTAAAGAATGCACTATATTGTTCTCATAATAATAGAAACCGAGCCGAAGAAGTTGACTTAGATTGTTTCAAAATTTCTTTTAAACCTTTTTTTGAGTTTGTTTTTGCGTCTTGCGTCAACTACAAGTTATATGTATATGTACCTGCAAAATCTGATGGGTATACACTCGACTGAATACACTGTTTATCATGAGAAAAACCAATGTCTCGTGTGTACTTGTTTAATGCTATAAAAGAAAAACAATTATATTTCAACACAATCAATAGTACGAAAAGTAATCAGTGAATGCTGCTCTTTTTTTAAGTACACATTGTCTATACCCACCTATGTAATAATATATTTTTAAACGCAGTAAATGCGTATATGCACGAGCTTATACAAGTTTTTGATGCAATGGTAATACTGTCAAATTTTGTATTTATTAAAAAACAAAACGACGTTTCAACCGTTTGGACAATGTCCCGTCCCTCATCAGGTACAAAAATCTATGAGTAATAAAAAATTCTTTACAATACAAATTTTGATAAATGCAATAAACGCAAGTTAAGTAAAGTGTATAATATACCTCTGACTCTTACGAAGGGGATGTAAGATCGTAATGTAGTCAGAGTTTCAAGTTTTGTTGCTTTTATACCCTGCACATATACAAATGACACAATATACGCACACAATACAATCAAACAAGAATTTCAAGCAGTTCCTTGTGAGACATACGTAAGCAGATCATGTTTTCCTAATACCATAAATGAAAGAGGCCCTCAAATCATGTACATAGAATTAGCCTCCTTTCTTAATTGACTTAACAGGAGACTTGTAACAATCTTTCAATTTTTCTGTATCTTGTTGTGTATTAATATTATTATTGAAATAATGTATATTAAACATTTCAGAGAACTGGCGCTTCTTATAATTTTGTTGGGTGTCTAAAATTTTTATTTTATCAAAATTAAAGTTGTGTGTAAATTCAACGCTATGCTGTGATAGTACAGATGTATCCTTATTTTTCTCTATGTCTCTTTTATGTTTTGCCATTCTTAATTTTAAAGCTCTCGATATTTGAAGCTTCACATTGGTCTTGTATACAGTTTAAACAATAAATTGGATTCGATCTTATCACTTGGAAAAGATGTCACAGAGCCACTCGATAAAAATAATGTCGTTTACCACACACCATGTGCAGATTGCAACTGCTGTTATGTCGGTCAAACATCGAGAGCTTTAAAATTAAGAATGGCAAAACATAAAAGAGACATAGAGACAAATAAGGATACATCTGTACTATCACAACATAGCGTTGAATTTACACACAACTTTAATTTTGATAAAATAAAAATTTTAGACACCCAACAAAATTATAAGAAGCGCCAGTTCTCTGAAATGTTTAATATACATTATTTCAATAATAATATTAATACACAACAAGATACAGAAAAATTGAAAGATTGTTACAAGTCTCCTGTTAAGTCAATTAAGAAAGGAGGCTAATTCTATGTACATGGTTTAAGGGCCCCTTTTATTTATGGTATTAGGAAAACATGATCTGTTTACGTATGTCTCATAAGGAACTGCTTGCGATTCTTGTTTGATTGTATTCTGTGCGTATATTGTGTCATTTGTATATGTGCAGGGTATAAAAGCAACAAAACTTGAAACTCTGACTACATTACGATCTTACATCCCCTTCGTAAGAGTCAGAGGTATATTATACACTTTACTTAATTTGCGTTTATTGCATTTATCAAAATTTGTATTGTAAAGAATTTTTTATTACTCATAGATTTTTGTACCTGATGAGGGCCTGGACATTGTCCAAACGGTTGAAACGTCGTTTTGTTTTTTAATAAATACAAAATTTGACAGTATTACCATTGGACGTTATTTTAATTATTATCCAACTGTCATTGGACGTCTTATACTATCCTTAAAATTATAGTTTTTTTTATGGGACCTTCTCTAAAAAAATTTTTTTGTACAATCACGTAGCCCCTTGTTACTACGTTTTATTTATGGGGTAAATGGCCTATTTTTGAGAGTTTACACTAAGTAGAACCTGGTATTTGACAGTTTAGTGGCTAAGATTCGTTGGCTCGACCTAGTTTCGTTAATTTCTTAAGATAATTACTATTTTTTATCACATTGGAGTTTTAAATAATTTTTCATTTTCAGATCTTTATGTCAGCATTGATAACTTTTAAAAATATTTTTCTTAACTCCACTCATCAGAAATTAAAATATTTAATATTTCTGTCAGTTCATGAGTTTAGCAGTAGCGTCACGTTATTTTTATGAAATTAAAGAATCAGTCGAAGTATTTATAATTATGAACTAAAACTTACTCTTTATAACCAAGCTCGTTTTTGTTTCAGGTACTTCAACGATACTACGTTCAGTATTTGTCTGGTTTTGATGCTCCAGCAATGCATCAAATTATTCAAAATCTACCCGTTTGCCCTGAGGAAGAAGGTGCAATATTAAGTGATATGTGCTCAACCATAGCAAGTCTAACAGTCAAACAAGTTGAGGACAACGAACTCTTTGACTTTCGAGCATTCAGACTTGACTGGTTTAGAATACAAGCTTATCTATCAGTTGGGAAAAGTAGCTTTAAGCTAGCTGATAACAGAGAACTGGCATCTTTTATGGATACCACTATTTTCCATACTAAAATGGTTGACAGCCTCGATAATGTTCTAGTCGAGACATCTGATCTTTCTATCTTTTGCTTTTACAGCAAAATTTTTGAGGATCAGTTTCACATGTGTCTCGAATTTCCAGCTCAGAATCGTTACATCGTTGGTTTTCCTTTGATCTGCAGCCACTTTCAAAGTTGCACTCATGAACTCTGTCCAGAGGAACGCCACCATATACGAGAGCGTAGCTTGTCGGTCGTCAATATGTACCTTGATGAAATGGCAAAGGAAGCCAAAAACATTATCACGACGATATGCGATAAACAGTGCAACATGAGCGACAAACTTTTGCCAAAGCATTGCGCTCTACTTATCTCGCAAGTCGTTAATAGGAAAAAGAAAGACAAAAACAAAAAAAATTTTGAAATACAAAAGCCAGGCTTTGAGAGTTACCGCAAAACCAGAGAGGAGCTCACTACCATGGACAAGTTGCACATGGCCTTGACAGAGCTCTGTTACGCGATTAATTACTGTCCCACTATCAACGTATGGGAGTACACATTTGCTCCAAGGGAGTACCTGCACCAACATCTTGAAACACGATTTGCTAGAGCACTTGTGGGCATGGTCATGTTTGATCCTGATTCCAATGTCATTGCTAAGCCATCTGAGCTCCTCGTAAGCGTGCGTGCGTACATGAACGTGCTACAGACTGTCGAGAACTATGTACACTTAGACATAACCCGTGTTTTCAACAATGGACTCCTCCAACAAACCCAAGCCCTTGACAGCCATGGAGAGAAAACGATTGCTGCTATTTATACACAGTGGTATTCAGAGATTCTATTAAGGCGCGTCAGTGCTGGCAACATCTGCTACTCACCCAATCAGCACTCTTTTGTCAGCCTTTCAGTTGAAGGTTCGATTCCGTTCAATGCTGAAGAGTTCTCTGACTTGAATGAGCTACGCGCACTTGCTGAGCTGATAGGTCCCTATGGTATGAAAATGCTTAACGAGACCCTCATGTGGCATATATCGAGTCAAGTGCAGGAGCTTAAGAAACTTGTGGCTAGCAACAAAGACATTCTTATCTCTCTCAGAACCAATTTTGACAAGCCTGAAGTTATGAGAGAACAGTTTAAAAAGCTTCAGCACGTCGACAACGTCCTACAACGAGTCACTATCATTGGGGTAATTTTGAGTTTCCGGCAACTCGCTCAAAACGCTCTTGTAAGCGTACTTGAAGAGAGAATTCCCTTTCTGTTAAGTTCCATTTTAGATTTCCGACATCATCTACCTGCAGGGGATCCGATGCGCGTTATCTCAGAGATGACATCAGCTGCCGGACTAAGTTGTAAGGTTGATCCGACACTTACTTCAGCTCTTAAAAGCCAAAAAGCTGAGGTTGATGAGGACGAACACGTGTTTGTTTGTTTACTCATGGTTTTTGTTGCAGTCTCGATTCCAAAACTTGCACGTAACGAAAACTCTTTTTACAGAGCATCACTTGAAGGTCATTCTAATAATATTCACTGCATAGCCACAGCTGTTAACAACATATTTGGTGCTCTTTTCACTATTTGTGGTCAAAATGACATTGAAGATAGGATGAAAGAATTTTTGGCATTGGCTTCCTCAAGCTTGCTAAGGCTCGGTCAAGAGAATGACAAGGAAGCTACACGGAACCGCGAGTCAGTCTACCTCTTACTTGACCAAATTGTTCAAGAGTCACCGTTTCTCACAATGGACCTATTAGAGAGCTGCTTCCCCTACGCTCTTATCCGTAATGCCTACCATGATGTATATAAGTTGGGATATGCTCAAGTCTAAAATACATGCATACAGAAGTGCAGTTATCTCGCAGTGAAGATGTGAATCCTCTCAGACGTTCTTGTTAACGGTGCCACTGTCGTTAAAATATATATATATAAACTGATATACCTATGTATAAGTATATATTATACAAGGAACCATTTGTAGTAAATTTTGTTTTTCAACATTTATGAAAACTTGTGAGGATAATATATAGGCTATACTGATGTACCACATCAGGTGATCAGAAAATCCCAACAAGAAAAAGTAGAACCTTTCAAATAGAAATTGGTTGTTGAGTCAAGCAGATTAAGTGTGGCATTGTTAATAACAATATTAAAATAATAGTGACAATACTAATAATAATAATAATAATAATAATTAAAATGCTAATGAAATGTTTTAATAGCTTTACTGAAGTTCATGCGCAAATCAATATGCTAATTATTAAGTTATTATACGTCTCTAAGCACAATTTTAGGTAAGGTTGCAAGAAAAAATAATAATAACCCACTTAAATATCGTTGTTCTACATAGGCCTCTATGGCTATGTTTAATTTTGTTGCTAGAAATGTAAAAGTTAATGATAATACTTTTCAGGGTAACCAGAGGGTGTCCAACTGATGTTACCACTGTCAGCACGGATGGTCATCAAAAGCTAATATTATCGCCAAATTTTTTACCTGATTAACAAATACTATCATGTATGATTGCGACGATCATGATGCATTGTATCTGTGATAACACTGCGAAAAATACAATTACCTCTACTTTCATAACTAATGTTAGTATTCAACGAGTGTATGACACTATAAAAATTAATTTAAAGTAAGTGTGTGTGTGTATCCCAGATTGTGGTTAACGCACTATGAGTTTTAAAAAATCTCAAAAGGGTCCAGATTTCAATGAAATAATCATATTCATATAAAACTATGAAATCTATAATTTAAAGGATCCAAAACAAAATTCCAGTATAATTTATCAATTAAAAATGTACATTCTTTTTAGTTTTATTTTTACACTTAGCAGTAGCTTTCAGTTGTGATTTTAATAAAAAAGCTTATAGCCCTTAAAGCCCAGCATTTATTTATAAGTAACTAGATTTTCTACAAGTTCATCATTTTTTAGCATAAAATGCTTAACTTTTAAGATATTCAAAGATATCTGAACTATGTAGATTTCATGCTACTGGCTTGTAGCTTCCTTCCCAGATTCCAACTTTTGCTACAAGCTGTGGTGCCACATGTCATTCTTCCAATTACTAAAAACGACGATAATAGACAAATTTATTAAGATTTAAAAATATATGAAGATTTACACTTAACATTACACGTAATCTGAGAATTTATGGTTTATTAACGTAGTTTTCAGTAATGATAACTTATTTCTAAAAAGTCTCATCATTGACTCCTTACGTCAAATTTAGATACGGGCATAAAAGCCTGTGTTGAACAACAACTTTCCAAAGGGTTGTTATTCTTATTTGATCTCGTTATCTTCTAAAAAATTGTGCATAGAGGTGTGTCGTAACTTAATAATCTCCATCTCTAAGTTTTACTTTGATCGCTCTGTTTTTCAATTTTGCATAAACCTCCGCAATGCGAGTCCAACCCACTCAATACTAGAGAATTTTTTTTTTTCACTGTAAATGCCAAAAGTATCGTTATTTTATTACAATTATGTGTGAATTAGTCTAAAAATGTAAAAAGAATATTTATGAAAAGTTTGAAGAGTCTGAACTGAAAAGTTGAGTGGAAAAGTTTTGTCAACTCAAATAGGTTTATCGTGCAGCAACTCACAGAATTTTGCAGCTAGTACCCGTAAAGATTATATATTATGTTGCAGCCATTCAAGGTTTAAACGATACCTTCTAACTTGCGAAATTAATCTCTACATAAATATTTATTTGCGTATGAATAGTTTGCGAGATTTTTGCAAAATAAAAAGTTGATGATAAGTGCAACACTAAAACATAATCAGTAAGTTAAAATTAATGATCAGCATACGTTACCAGAAAAAATCTTAATTGCGAATAAAAAGACAAGTGTAATGACATCGACAAAAAGAGAAATGGATAATAACATGATGATATACGATATTACTATGTGAGGAGGTTTGGGAGAAACGTTTACATGTAGAATCGTTCCAAAAAAATGTGTGTTATATTTAAGCATGTCAGAAGTGCAAATAAATTTTTTCAGTTTTTTCACCAGGGAAATTTTCGAAAAAAAATAATAAATTATTGACATTTGAACACCCATCTGCGCGTGCTGGATGGACTTCCCGTTCCTCACCTCTCTAAATGATACTCCCAAATCCCCTTAAATGATAAAGTACCGTGCATTCCTTATGCCACAAAATAATCGTTGGCCCTAAAAGACCGTTGATTTGCGGTTTCTTCTGTATAATCTATGAACAGGGCTATTATTAAAGCTGTAAAGATTTAAAACTCACAAAAAATATGTAATTAAAAAAAAATATTTTTTCTTATCTCACAAATTTATTACCACAGCAAGAAAGTCCTGGAGCTTAATCTCTATATTTTTTATCGCCAAAAAAATACAAGGACATATTCTACCTCTTTACAAATCTGGAAGATTCAAGTAATTACTATGAGCGTTACAGCAAAAAAAAGCTTATCTCTCACTTAATAAATTCTTGATTTATCGATTTTGATGCTGCTTTAATCTCGATAAATGTTCAGCGTCATTTTCTTGACGCCTAAAATTGCATTTATTAGATGCATTTGAAGTTTTCCTTTCAATTCGACTTCTTGCAACTTTTGACATAGTTGAGACTTTTGTGAGCCCTGAAGGCTATTTTTTTCAACTTGATTAGGTTGTAATATATTTAGTTGGCAAGGTAGTTCGACGTCCAATGACCCTTTCTTGACTAAAATTTCCAGCAAACGTGCAAACGTGATCGCCTCCATAGCTTGTTGAAGAGCTCTTCCCCAGCATCTCCTGGTATAACGTCGTTAAAAAAAAAAAAAAAAAAAAAAAAAAAAAAAAAAAAAAAACTTTTTAGCTACGAATACAAAACTGATTGTAATTAATTTTTTCGAAGCTCTAGCCGGATGTTATAGTTAGAAAGTTTTTTTATTTTTTTGACCAGTAGTATCTAAATTAGACGATCACAAAAACTTTTATACATTGTGCAATAAAGCTTTAAAAAAGAACTTAACTGCTGTAAACTTGAAAAATTCGGTACACTTGTTTATATTAGCAACAGCAACATTTTCTCAAAATTTCAAGCTTGCAGATAATTTTATTTTTGAGTTATTAAATGTTAAATTAAACGTGCTTTTTCAAATTTACGCTATTTGTAAGTAAACAATCACATATAAAATATTGCTACGCATCTCATTTTATAGATCAATCTTTCTTTAAACTTTTCATTGATACTATGTACGAGTTTATACATTGGGGAGGAGATATAATGAAAAACTAGAAAAAAACTTAATTTTCTTCCTTTATTGTTAAAAATAGTAGAGGGTTGATTTTTNCAACATTTTCTCAAAATTTCAAGCTTGCAGATAATTTTATTTTTGAGTTATTAAATGTTAAATTAAACGTGCTTTTTCAAATTTACGCTATTTGTGTAAGTAAACTCACATATATAAAATATTGCTACGCATCTCATTTTATAGATCAATCTTTTTAAACTTTTCATTGATACTATGTACGAGTTTATACATTGGGGAGGAGATATAATGAAAAACTAGAAAAAAACTTAATTTTCTTCCTTTATTGTTAAAAATAGTAGAGGGTTGATTTTTTAGTAAACTTGGAACATTCTGTCAAATGCAAGTAAGTGAACCAATTTCTTCAGAGAAACTGGATCGTAGTAAAAAAGACAACATTTTCGTCTTACGTCTAGGCTGCATAGAGATATCGACCGTAACTACATTAATCAATCCAAGATACACAATCTTTTGTACCTGAAGTCCAAACATTCAATATCTTTTGTCATCATAAAAAGGATACCACTTCTATGTGTAATTAAAGCTCCTTTAGATACATTTGTAGTAAGTTATTCTATTTCATTGCTGGAAAGGTAGCCTTATTTTAATACTGTACGAACTTTGATTCCTAAATATTTGTTGCTTATGTTCTTTGTAAGGATATCCCGAAACCTTATTACTATACTGAGCAGATAAAATAATGTTGTGGTACATTTTTCAAGTAACAATGAAATTTCTTAAAACGGAGGCATAAAGTTGTAAGTAAAATACAATTATAACTTATTAGTTGGATTGGTTTCAATTGCACACTTATTTTCCTAGTCAGCTAAAAATTGTCATATTGTAGCAGAGCAATCAACGAATGAAAGAAACGTGATGTCTGACTCAGTTTGTTTAAACTGAAGATCATCATCTATGATTAAAATAATAGTACCATTCAAGACCTCTTAGGCCACGGTTACATGCGGTGGAAGTAGCCAATGGAACGTCAGAGTGTCACAGACATAAGTTCCCCCACTAGCCGTTTTATTTGTTACACAATTGCGTTTTTCCACTGTGGAAAGTGTGCAATGTACACATAGAGCGGAACAGAAAGACAGTGTCATAGCATTATTAAATAAGGGCATAACTTTCTAGCGAAAAACGTTCGACATTATTCATTTGATGTAAATTATTAATGCTTACCTATGATACGCTACGATAGAAACATGACCATCACAGCTACGATTATGGTCATACACCTGAAAATTTTAACAATAATCGAAGTAAAAATTTATATCATTATTTAGTTGGCTTCCGCCGTTATGCTCCGCTTTGTTCCGCTCCATGTGCACGATGCACACTATCTACAGCGGAAACGAAGTGGCGTAACAAATACAATTGGTAGTGGGGGAACTTCTGTCTGTAATGCTGTGATGTTTCATTGGCTACTTCCACCGCATGTAAACTCAGCCTAAGAAGTTATCAGTTACATACTAACTTTAAGATACTTATTTTACGTGAGCGCATGATTTAATACTTTCATAATTATATTTCAAAAGCAAAGACAATAAACGCATTTAAGTTGCTATTAGTAATATTGAAAAAGTAATAGCTATAAATAAATGGTTAAAAACGGCAAAATTTAATATCGTTGTGGTGGCATTGTCATAGAAACTAGACATGTACGATTGTCCTGTTCATCGTAATTTTGTGGATACACGCAGAATTTCGTCTTCCTTTTTAAAGTGGCATAATAATATGGAATTAAGATTTAAAACCTTCGAAGCGTAGACGAAACCTAGTAGCCAGAAAAAACTAACATGATGGGCTCTTTGAATTTGCAACTACCAATCAAATCAAATCAACTTAATTGATCTCATTGTCGTCTGGTTTTTGTCTACGCTTCGAAGGTTCTGTGTCTAAACTTTTTTGGATCGATGTAGATAGAAAACGCCACATCTACGTAAAGTTATATCTATGTGTACGATATATACATAGATATAATTTTATTTGAATATGTAGTTTGGAACAAAATCCATATTGATGAATGCAGATTTTTTTTTTGGGTGGTCATCCGGATAAGAGTACAGTGCCCGAAATTAAGTTATCAAGAGTGAATTGACTGAATGAATCAGTGATTTAAGTGTATATTATGTTAGTATACAGTAATAATTTTTGTTTCGTATTGTCATGTGTACTAAAACTTAGGAAAAAATAAAAACATATTACGGTGGTAATAATACAGCATATACAAGTGCATGCATGCTTGCACTTGTGTAAAACTTGAGTAACATAAGTACTGCTTACATTTATCGATTTGTCACAACACAGTGTTTAATAAACATAAATACTAATGACAGGTTAGGTTAACTTTACACATTTATTTTATATTTTCATGGGTTACTTGTGCCCTTTAAGCTTTACATAAGTGCAGGCCTACATATGCACGTAATAAATGTTGTGTTGTCATAGTCGCAATCCATGTTCTTATTTTTTCAATCATGTAGTACATATGACAATAGAAAACAAAATTTATTATTGTACACTAACATAATACACACTTAAATCACTGAATCATTTGGTCAGTTCACTCTTAG